TTAATACTTTATGTATTATGTTACATATAATAAATTTCAAATATTAAATAGAAAATAAATGTTATACTCTGTATTACAATTGAATTTTAATATCAGTTTATTATGAATAATAACTTATTATCACAACATATTCAAAACCTTACTTTTTCCGGATTATTATCCATATTTTCTATGAAAAATAATGTTAAAAAATACGAAAAATTAATCGCTTTTACATTATAAAAAAAACTTAATATATAAATTGACAATTATAAGTAAAATTTAATCAAATAATCATGCTTATTAGGGAAGACCGGGGCTATTTGGGACACGGGGCTATTCGAGACAAAAGAAATATCTTTTTATGGGTATATGTTAAAAATTCACCATAATTACTGTAAACACGTCCTAATATAGCTGCTGACAAAGTTTCATTGGCGCAAACGTCGTATTGTTGTCGTAGCAATGAAAAATATATTTCATGGTAGTAAAAGTAAACTTCGACATCCTGTGTTTTTTTAATTTTATGTAAGAAGAATGAGATTCTTTTGGAAATCTTTGAATATATCGTGTTCAGTGAAATGTTTATGAAATAATTTGTGTCTACTTTTTGCTGTGTGACGTCTATTTTTGTGTGCCACACATAATAATGCGTAGAGTTCATAATGAGGCTATTCGGGACATTGAAAGTAGGGGCTATTCGAGACATCAAATGTGGATCTAGATATCGAAGAGATTCGAGATATCGAAAATGCTAACCTACAAATGTTAACCTAGTGTTTATAACCTGTAGCTTTACATATAACATCTAGCTTTTTTTTTTGGAGTAAACATGGTACGGCATTATAAAAAGAAAAAAGACTCGCTAGTTAGTGAAGAAAGTTTAAAGCAGGCCGTTTTCGAAGTGAAACAAGGACGAATGACGATAAGACAGACTTCCAATCAATTCAATGTGTCTCGCTCATCGGTACATCGTCAGTGTCAGAATGTGGCACTTGGTAGATGAAAACGTTTCTGCAGAAAATATTTCTGTCGCAAGAGCAGGACATAAAACAGTAATTTAATGTTAATTTTACTAGTTATCTGAAATTTTGACAGATTCTGATGTCATGGATCGGCTTTCTGTTGAACGCGAACAAAGACTCAAAAAAGTAACGAAAATGACTAAAGAAAAGATTCCTAAAAAAGCTTTAAAAAAAAACTGCAAAAAATGCTAAATTTTTTTTAAATAAAATAAAGTCTTAAAAATAATTTTTTCTTATTTTTTGACTTTAAAACACAAATTTCCGAATAGTCTTGGACTTGTCCCGAATAGCCCCGGGACTTGTCCCGATTAGCCCCGGCTCCGGGGCTATTTGAGACACTTCGTACTGGTCGACGTTTTTATTTATAGTTCAAAGCAAGTACAATTCCGTGATCAATCTATAACGGCATTATGAAGGGTAAGGTTTAACCTTTCAAACCGTGTAATGAATTTTTTTTTAATAAATACAGAATTTAAGAGAAATAAAAGAAAAAAAAGTGTCCCAAATAGCCCCGATTTCCCCTATATTTTATAAAAAAATATAATTTTTTTGTAAAAATATTATTTTCTAAAAACTTTATTTTTATACTATAGTAAAATTTTGTCTTCTTCGAATTGTTAAATTATTTATTAACAATTATTTATTAACGCAATAATAGATGTTTATAAACACACGTTCCGTTGTAACCTAGTTTTAACACGTTCCGGTGACCCACGCGGCACGAAACGTATTAAATTATGCTTATCATTTTTGGGCCATGTTTCGATATAAGTACTATCAGTACTGAAATTTTGTATCTATACGTAACGTGAATTACAGATTTTCAGTATTAGCAGTGTATATCGGAATATAATCTTGATTATAACTCTCAAATTTTCGATGAATTTGATTTTATCTAGATTGTATAGATAAACGTAGCTTGATTGTTTTTACATTTTTTAAAATCTGAAATGTCTATCAGTAAATGTATACAAGTCAAGTTTATCGATATAATTTAGATAATCTAGATAATCAAGTCCATCGAAAATTTGAAAAGTTATAACTGAGGTTGTATCCGATGTACTGCACTACTAAAAATCTGTTATTCACGTTAAGTAGATATTTCCACTATACACGTGACGTTGCATGAAAATTTACATAAAAATTATGTCATACAGCACAATTATACAATCAAAGCGTTTACTTACGGTAAGAAACTCGGACGTGATAATCCACTTCTTAACTTTTCTTCACTATATATACTTCAAATATGCAATTAGCACCAAATATTACGTACTACATACGGTGACATACGCACGTCGAATCATCTCTGACTTGGACCACGGACGACTTTTCTTTGTCCGCTTCTTGTTCATACGAGTTCTAGCCGCTAGCGTATTGCGTAGCTAGAGACACACTCGACGAAAATGACCGATAAACATCGGTTACAGCCGATCAGTTACCATGCTGCATCTTAAAATTATTATGAACGACTAAGTTAGATTAAAAGTAGCATGCTGCATGGTAAAATTTAAATAAGTTATTTTATATGTTTATAACTACTTGGCATCTATTTCTTTTAAAACAACAAAGAATCATAAACTGTGTAACATATTTTAAAATTACAGAAATTTTATTATACTTTTCAGTAAAATTAATAAAACATTTTATATATCTTATTGTTGAACATATTAATAAATTAGAGAGAATCACATACAATTCTTCAAAATATTATTTTGTCCCATACTACTATGATTTTTAGGCTAAATTCTAAGAGAAAATTCTTTCCGTGTAGGAACAGGACACGGCACCGACCGCAACGACTCAACTACAGTCACCACTACAAAAGAATTATTAGCAATAGTGTGGGCAGTAATATCTTATCGCCTACTTTGAAGATCTCCTTCTTTATTTTCTTATCGTACTGTTTTTTCGATTGTATTTTTGCCTGGTTCGCGTTTTCCTTTGCGATTTGATTCGATGCGCGTAGTCTTTCTCTTAGTTCCTGCACATAGTCGTCGTAGGAGTATGTTTATTTTGGGGGTTTTGTAAGTGCTGTCGGGAAGGTGGCGCGATGTCCGTACATTAATTCGAACGGCATCAGTAGCCGTATGTGGCGTAGTGTTATATGCGAACATCGCGTAGGGTAGCCACTCGTCCCAGTCCGACTGTTCTTCATTAACGTAATGTCTCAAATATTCCGCGAGAGTACGATGAGATCGTTCTAGCGCCCCGTTACTCTTCGGGTGATACGCGGTTGTTTGTATTTTTTCTATTTTTAATAACTTACAAACGTTTTTAAATAATTCGCTTGTAAAGTTAGTACCTTGATCTGTTAGCACTTTTTCGGGTACTCCGTGCTCTGTTATTATTTTCGTGACAAACGCTTTTACGACCGATGCCGCTTCCTGATTAGGCAATGGAATAGCTTTGCTAAATTTGGTTAAGTCACTATTCTGAAATGTGAGCACGTATTTATTCCCTGCATTTGTTACTGTAAGCGGTCCCACTATATCTAGAGCGCATTTTTGAAATGGTCTGTCCGCGTATCCGTGACTTCCAATAGCATTTTCGTTTTACGGCTAAGTTTGTTTCTCTGGCAATATTCATATTTACTAATGTAATCTTCGATATCCCTGGTTATACCTCGCTAGTTATGTAACAATCGAATTTTATTTAGAGTTCTCGCTACTCCTTGATGCTCTCCTATCGGCAAGTCATGATATTCAAAGAGTATCTGTCGCTTTTCGTCCGCGGTGTATTCTTTCGTTGTCTCTTCTTCTTCTTTTTCTTCTTCACCGCGGATGATAACGCTCTTCGCCGAGTCTCCGGGCATCGGATTTCTACTCAGCGCGTCCGCGTTTGTGTTACCTTTTCCGGCTTTGTGTACGATTTCGTAATCGTATTCTTCTCAGTTTCAATCGCCACCTAATCAGTCGTGATCCTGGATCGGTCACGGTAAATAGCTATACTAAAGATCGATGATCTGTCACAATTTTGAATTTTATTCTGTATAAGTAGGAACAATAATGTTTTACTGCCCACACTATTGCTAATAATTCTTTCGTAGTGGTGCCTGTAGTTGAGTCGTTGCAGTAGGTCGGTGCCGTCTCAGGTTACGCGTTGGGCGTCGTACTCGTGGCTGCTACCGGGTGACTCAGGCGTGCTGCTACTATCAACAACATGGTTACATGTCACGTGATTTCAGACACCAACATCAAAAGGACCGATGAGAGTGCCGCTACTGATATTTCTTATACTGTGGCTTGACTTTAATTGAGGGTTTCTAATATGGCTGCGACTACAGATGTTGCTGTTGCTGCTGCTGCTGCTGCTGTTGCTGCTGCTACTGCAGAAGATCCGCATAATTAGGTCGGGTCTTGTACATCTCGCTCTTCCTGCTCTTCTTGATCTTCCTCTGTCGCATCCTTTTCATTTCGTTCTTCCTCTTATTCCCTCACTTCTTCCCCCTCTCCAGTTTCTATTTCTACTCGTATTACATTGTTGTCGTTTCGCTTTTCCTCTCTCACATCTCCTACGTGCATCTCTACCTTGTCCGCATTCTCGCGTACGGGCGAGTATAAGGCCAAATCCAAGAACATATGCGGTGCTCGATTCATATCGTTGTCGTCATCGTCGTCGTCGTCGTCATCGTTGTCAGTTGCCCTGTGAACTAATGCTACTGCACTGCTGACATTATTCTCCTCATCATCATCGGACGACAATTCAATAACGGGAATTATTCTATCATTTTCACGGGGAGGTGGCGCGTTGTTTCCTTGAGTTGGAAAATCGCCCGCGTCTTCCGCAAATCGAGTTCTCAGCGCAGGCACGATGTCGATCTTTGATATCGATTTTACAGGCGGGTCGTCGTTGATTTAATCGCTCAAACCGTACACTATATGGTTGAACGAACGTTATAAGTCGTGACTCTCTTATGAAAAATTTTCGAAGTCGTTCGCAAGGCTCCATTTTCAGCGTAGCACATACAATCACGTACACTCACTCGTGTATACACCTCACATCTCTCGCACGCTATTTATCTTTATGTTATAAAAGCTTTTCTTCGTTCTTTCAAGAGTAATTTACTTAGTCGAGAAATCATCCCGTATTACGTACATGGTATGCTTAATTATTTGATCTCCGAGTCGTACCGTCGCTCGAACCTTTCCGATTGTATACACTTGATGGCCTGTGACTCCCTTTAGAATCATATGATCATCTCGGATCATTACTTCGTCCTTTAGACTTTCTATTTCAAGGTCAATGTTGCTCCTGTATCCAGTAGCAAATGCATCTCGCCTTTTTCGGCTTCCTCTATTGGCAAAGTTATGTGTAATCCGTATCTGTTATTCTTCCCGGTGACCTGCGTTATTTTATGCTCGCGTGCAGATCGACTTGTCCTTGCGCTCCTTCATGTCGTCATCTTCGCTGCTACTAAACGCTTGGTCATGGTTTTTATCGGTACCCGCCTTCGTGGTTACGTGCACTTTATTTTTCTTTTCGAATTCTTTCCTTCTCGGTTGGCTTGTTTGTTCTCGCCCTTTTAAAGTCCACCACTCCTTCCTGAGGTGTCCTGCCTTTCTGCAATAGTTGCAATATTTGTCTATCAGGAGACACGGTAGTGGCTTGGTGTCAAGTGTTTAAAAAACTGTAAATATAAATAAAATATAATATAAAATATATGTATGTATATAAAAATGATATGTCATATATGTCAAGCCATGCCGGGTCTCTTAACGCGAGCCGTCGCGTTGCGAGCACCCGATATTTTGAGATCTCAATAACGGTCGAACCGATTAAGTTCTAATTAGGATTAATCGATAGCTTGGGTTCGATTTGTATAATGAAAGTGTCTTTATTTTTTCTGTACGTGCTCTACGAGCGGAGATATTGCAATGCAAAGTCCGAAAT